CATCATATTCTGTCCGCTAGACAATAAGTATTTTTGATAATATTGTGAATTTAACTAGCGCGTTACTTTATGAACACACACAAAACTATTATATTTTTGTCCACCCTGTACTAATTTGAATCAGCATGTGATACATTTTTGGAATCAGCTCAGCTCACTACTCGAAAGTAAGTCACCCTGTATATTAGAATATTATTTTAAAATACGGTAGATTGAAGATTAAAGATCGACGTGTTTCAGGATTATTTCTTAAAAGGCTCTGTTTAGCTAAAAAAAAATTTGTTCCATACTTTACGGAGACAGTGTATATATTTGGTCGTTTTCTCTGCATTTTCGCAGAATCTACATGTTGCTCAGCCCACTTTTTGTATTTTGTATTTTATAGAGATGATCTTTGAATATTTAATGTCCTCGTGTGACAAATACCAGTTGTTACTCTGAGTTCAATTAATGAGTAAAGAAGAAGAAAATGTATTTATAGTAGTGTCTACAGCTCCAAGTTATAAAGAAGAAGTGATGGATTCGACCGTTACTTGATGAAAATTCATTTCATATAACAATAAAACACCGAACACTTTGTTTTCAAAACTTGAACCACAAAATTTATTATAATATTTTATCACTACAGTTGTTTTGGTAGATTGCTTTTCTCAAGTGATCTATTTTTCAACGTGTTTACTTCGTTTGTCTCAAGTTGATCTTTTAGAATTATTTCTGTGTTTTCTAATTTATTAATTAACCTTTAACTGCGGGCGCCCCTCCATTAGTCATAACTACGTGCGCGGTGTATTCTGTACACCACCGACTAAAAACGCAAATAAAAGCCACAACTAGGTATTTTTAGTACATATATTGTATATAATAAATGTAGGCATATATTTAAGAGAATGTCTTAACATAAAAAATAATACATAACGAAAATATAAAGATTAGCAACAAATATAAGAACAAAAACTCAACCACTTCTTTTTCTCTAAAAATAACCTTCTTGAGATTCTTGTATATTAGCTTAACATTAAAAATATTATAAAACTAGTATATAAATCTAAAAACTAGGAGTAAATAATCATTCACAAATGAACATATTTGAGAATATGTGTGCTATTCACTTTCGTTTTCTTCCTCGTTTGCGTCTACTAAATTACAATTTGCACAAATTGTAACAGAGTGCTCTTTACAAACCATTCTATTACATTTGTTGCAAGATATTGTTGTAACTCTATTTTTGCTCCTTCCACAACAATGGCACCTCCCCCGTTTTTTTGCTGGTGGTTCTTCATCGTGGTCGTCTTGTACGTTTTTGTATTTCTTCAAGAATATTTTCAAATCCAAAAGTAAACTCTGTATTTCCGCCCTCTCAGAAAGATGAGGTCTTATCAATGCCAATGATAATTCTTTTAGAAAAACTCTTCTATATTTTTGAGGATTGTCGATGTTGGCAGCATTGTACAGGATCTGGCTGTTAATTCCGGCAATATTCAGGAGTTGAAAAAACAATGCCATTGGCCATCTTCGTGTTCTTCGGGATACCGAATAGGTACTGCACATTTTGTCTACAGTGTCTACGCCTCCTTTATGTGAATTATAGTCTAAAATTATCATTGGTTTTCCTGTTTCGGGATCTACTGTAGAATTACTGTGCATGGTAGATAGGAGAATGACAGCTTTATTTTTTTTTTTGGTGTGTAGGATACAATGGTAACTTCTTTTTGAAAACCAAAAGTGGATGATCCAATTGGTGTGTTTTTTCTTGGTAAAAACTCTGGAGGTAGTTCCCTTTTATTTCGTTTAAGTGTGCCAACCATCGTTATCTTTTCCTTCAAAAGGTCAATTGCCAACGGATAACTCGTATACCAATTGTCGCATGTTAAATTACGGTTTTTACCTTTCCAAGGTTGAAGCAGGCGATGGGTAATATCCGTTGGTGTGTTAGATTTTTTGTAGGGCCCTTCCGGTTGTTGACCACAATACACCTCAAAATTGGTGACATAAAAGGTCTGCGCGTCACATAACACAAACACTTTTAAGCCATACTTTGCAGTTTACTTGGAATGTATTGCACAAAGTTGCATCTACCTCTAAAAGGTATCAACATTTCATCGATAGTCATTTCTTCTCCCAAGGAATAGTTGCTGCTACAGTTTTTCATAAACGTATCAAGAGTAAAGCGAATGGCAGCAAGTTTGTCAATTGATTTTCGGTCCTTTCGAGTATCTTTGTTGTCAAACCTAAGAGCAGCAAGCAAAAATAAAAATCGATCTGCGCTCATACAGGCTCGAAAGATTTCTGAGCCGGTACCATCTTTTGTCCACAATTCGAGGAAGTGTGTATGATTTTGTTTTTTAGTCCCTGCAAGAAATAATAATCCTAATAATGCCATGATTTCCTGTTTAGTCGTATCTTTAGCCCGTCTTGGCCGTTCATAATTTAATCGCATTTTTGCAATCTGCAAATTTGTACATTCAACTATATTTTCTATGATTTCATTTGTAAAGAGTTTTTCAAAAGCACTTAGTTCCGTAGTAACATCTCTCGCACAAACTGTTGGCCCAGGAAATATCTTGACAATATTTTTTGAAGGAGTTTTAGTAAATTTGCTAAGAAGAGATTTCTTATACCATTTAGTTTTTCTGTCTTTTGCTATAAAATAATCATTGTCTTCATCAAGATCTGAACTGTTTTCAATGTTACTGTTTGTGTCCGAGTCAATCGTATATTGATTTTCGTCATTCAGATCAACTTCTGATTCAGTGTCGTGCTCCGTTTTTTCTATTAGCTCGTCGTCTGAAATATCTGGGTCTCCACCAACATCTTCATCAGATTCTTCCTCAAATATAGCTTGAGCCATAGCTCTAAGTTCATCTTCTGAGAGTTTTTGGGGATTTCTTACTGGTACACGATCCCTGCAAAGTAAATATTTTGTAGTACCTCTCGATTTATAAACGTTACGAGAAATATATAGAGGCAACGTTTGTAATTTTTATTATTTATTTCTAATTAATATTTCAAAGAGACATGACCGTATTGCTATGGAAGAAAGAACATGAAAAAACAAGACCACAAAAACAACTAGAAGGTCGTTAAATAGTCCAATAATAGGTACTCACAAATATCCAAATAGATAACGGTATATTAAGTTATGAGAAAATGCTAAAATAAAATATTTGATCAAATGTATTATCATAAAACTAGTTTTATTATAATAAAATGAAAGTTTTATTAAAATTTTAATAACAAATTACAAATTCTTTTATTCAAAACGTTGCAAAATGTCTAGCTTTTGTTACATATAAGTCGCTATACATTAATAATGCTATTTTTTAGTAGATAAACGTAATATAAATCTCACAAAATTTACTTACATAACTAGGTGCTTGGTGTACTACATACACCACTGGTAAACTTCTCCTGAATTTTTCCAACCGTCAGTCTATCTCTGCAGCAATCAATTTTACAACTGTTGAGGTTTATAGCTGACACATCAGAGATAGGTTAGGTAGAGGGACACGTGCGCAACCAGTGCTTATCAGAAATAGCGGCCAATTTAGTGCGACTGGTGTACTGAGTACACCGTAGCCCATAGTTAAAGGTTAAGAAGGTAAAGTACGTATGTAGAATCTGTTTTTGTATTATTGAAAGGCCTTTTATATTCTGCTATAGTTAATTAAAGGTTCTACCAGTTTGACCGATGTAAGTTTTTGGGCAGTCGCCACATTTAAGTTTGTATACACCACTGTGTAAGTGCTTTTTATTTTGGCTCTTGTTTGTTTTAATATATTTGCCTAAGTTGTTGTTTGTTCTAAAAGCTGGTGTTATGTCTTTCTTTTTTATGTGTTTGGCTATTTTTGCTGTTATTTTGCCTGTATATGTAATCGAGCAGAAGGTACTGGGTTTTTTCTCTGGCGGTGGAAATACTAATTTTAGGGCTTTCTTGTGTAGTTTTTTATTTAAAATTTTATTAATTGTTTGTTCGCTGTACGAGAGAAAATTAAATATCATTAAGCAAATAACAGTTAACAATGTATACAAAGCACAATTAATTAATAAAATTTTAAATAAAAAACTACAAAACCTAGTATCTTCTGTTCGATTACACATACAGGTAAAATAACAGCAGAAATAGCCAAACACATAAAAAAAGGAATAACACCATCTTTTAGAATAAACAACAACTTCGGCAAATGTATCAGAGACAACAAGAGCCAAAATTAAAAGCACTTACACAGTGATGTATATAAGCTTAAATATGGCGACTGCCCAAAAACTTACATCGGTTAATTTGGTAGAACCTTTAACAGATGTATAAAAGAACATTAAAGGGCTTTCAATATTACGAAAATATATTCTAGATAGTACTTCACCTTCTTCATCATAATCCTTCTTTTAATGACGAATTTCAAATTTTTCACACCCAAAATAAAGGCGTTAAGCTAACTTAATTAGAATCTCTGAAAATTAACAAATTAAAAACACGGACCTAATTGTGAATGATCAACTTGAGACAAACAGTTCTTCCCTCCTCAACCTATTTCGTTAAAGACTTTAAATTGTAAAATCATCCAAAAATATATCACTTGAGTAAGGCACTCTGCCGAAATAGCTGTAGTAATCAAACATTATAATAAATTTTGTAGAAGTTTTAAAACAAAGCTTTTGGTTTTTTATTGGTATCATACAGAAGATCGTCAATTACGTATTTTAGTTATTTTTTGTTGTTTATATTAATTATTTTCTAAGTTTCCCAGCACTTGTAACGATACACTCTCTTAACGATATTTCGATTAACCAGCTAGATAATTTAGTTTGATTAACCAGCTAGATAATCTAGATTACTGATATATTGAATAATGCATCTATAAAGTGCCACTTACGCCTTAAGCAGTGAAATGGAAACAGCTTTATGAATGCAAGCAAGAACTGGCTTACATTATTTAACGATTTATAATATATATATAAAACCGAAGAAAATTTTTGGTCATCATTAAGCTAATAAATCATACCTTTTTATAAAATAGTCCCCATATGGTTGGTGCATATCTTCAGCACTCTTTCCGCTTTCATGTACTTCATTGTATATATCATAAAGTTGGTCTCCAAGCTCCTTGTCAATTTGTGTACCATTTGAAAGATAAAAAGTATTATCTTCATAGTCATTGATAGAAGGACTTAACAGGTTAAGGTCTTTGACCATCTCATACACAATATTGCCTTTCTCTCCGTGAACCCACTGTCCTCCTATATCAACCATACTACCACCGAATTGAGTAGAATAGACTCTTCCCCCTATTCTATCTTCAGCTTCTAAAATAAATCACAAAGATAGCAAAATATGCAGAAAGGGTACATATGTCTAAAAACCATGTCACATATACAAACCTAAAAATAATTATGAGGTATAACAATTATGATAATTTTGACTATTTTCGTCGTCGCATACTAATAGAAAATAAATCGAACAACATTTTCAATAATAATAACTCCTCTGTTCAACCAAGTGGTTGATCTATGATCTTATGCAAAATTTATACATAATTATGATGGATATGCTCCCAGATTTTATTGTCTACCGAAAATACATAAGCCTACATTGAGCATGAGACCTATTGTGACATTCAATAATTTACTGAATATTAATATTTCAAAATTTTTAACGGACATCTTATCAAAATCTTATAATTATAACAACAACTTTAATATTGTTGATTGTTTTTACTTATGTGACTTTATTAATAACTTTAAACTTTTAAGGTTACATTTTAGTGAGTTTTGATGTGGTATCCCTTTTCACTAATTTACCTCTTTCCAGTGTTATGACTTCCTTAAGAAATTATTGGAATTCCATCGAACCTAACTGTCTTGTTTCCTGGGATGTATTTGCAGAACTGTTGCAAGTAGTATTTGACACTAATTTTTTGGTCTTTAATGACAAATATTCTCTTCAAATTTTTGGCCACCTTGTCTTTGTTTAATGAGATTGATACTCATTTACAGTTCAGTGTTGAACTTGAGGACTCCATCACAAATAGCATTCCCTTCCTAGACATGCGTATCATTGGAATGAGAGATAATACCTTAACCACAAGTTGGTATAGGAAACCGATGGCCTCTTATAGGTTTCTTAACTACCATTCCTCTCATCCTTTCAAATATAAATTAAACTTAATTAATGCTTTAAGCTGCAGGCTAAATGACTAACACATCCGGTTAACTTATCCCTGATGGTGATGATGTCGATAACTATCGACGAAATATTGGATTAATAAAGGACTAAAGAGTACTTACTATACGTGTGCGCTCACTACACAAAAGGGAAGTACCATGTTATTCTTCTTATAGATGTGCAGAATTTGGTGGACAGAACCATTCATGATTACATATGTCAGAAGGTCAGTATGATAATAGAAGGAATTCTGAAAACAGAAGGCCACAAAATATACCAAATTCTAGTGGGCATCATTATGATAACAAAAGGAAATTTGAAAACAGAAGGCCACAAAATAGACCAAATTCTAGTGGGTCAGAAGGTCAGAATATTATTAAAGAACAGTAAAAACGGATAGCGAAGAAAGATTTGAAGTTAAAATACCCTTCAATTCTAATACAATCCTATTTGGAGGACTCAAAACAGAAAGCATATGCGAGACAGCTGCAATTAAAAAAGAAATTTTAAAGAGACACAAACCTAGAAAAAAAGAAGTGGTGTTGTGCGCTCGTTGTTGGTCCCAATTAATCTACTTGCAGTAGATTACAATAACTTACACTATTTTTAAGAAAATAAAAGAAGGTAGTCAGATATATTCGAAACTCCAAGAGAGCCAGAAAACAAATGCATCAAGGTTCTTGCATTCAACTTCATCCAGCGCCTCGAAGACATACGGTATCACAACCAAATTTAGGTAGTACTGGTTTTTTGGCTGCAGCGTTTTGTTGAAGCAATATTTATTCAAAAATCCACTAGGAAACTAAGTTCCTGTAGCTGGCTGTATACCATATATAACAAAAAATGTATTTAAAATCTTTTATAAAAGGTATATAATAAAATGCCCAAGTGATAGCCCGTTTGGGCATTTTATGATATACCTTTTATAAAGGATTTTAAATAAATTTTTTGCAATATTTATTCAGTTTTTACATCTCTATCGGTCATTGCATCTTCGACATCTTTTCTCTAAGACCATCTTGGTTTACCCCTTTCTTTTTCTAGAGAGCGGTGCTCTTTACGGCCTTTATTTTTTATCCTTTATGGCCTTTAATTTTTAGGCATAAAGATATAAGACATGCAATACAAGGTATAAGACATTATGTCATATTTTTTATTGTATCTGGTTTTTGCGTTATCTGATTTCTTTAAACTGATTAGATAAGTGTCTAATTCTTTTATTTAAATTATCAAAAATAAACTTTGTGTAAGAATGATGTTCCACAGACCTTGACCTTATAGATCTTGTCTCATGTATACTATAATGTATTTAGTATTCCCTCATTAGTTGTATTTATTACGAATTGTCCTAAGATAACGAGATAAAAGTTAGTTAAAATCATTATGTTTGTAATTACAGTTCTGTTTGCTTTTTTATAAAGTGCTACTGTTATGCGCATTGACGAGTAATGAACATTCAATGAAAGAAAGCACGATGTTAAAAATAATGTAAAGAGCTGATAACAATAAATTTTGTTAAAATTTTTATCTAAATAACGAAATAAATACTAATTTTTTTATATCTTGATCGCCGCATCTAGACTTATTATTTGGTAATTTTTTCCAAAATTTAAACTATTCATTCCAAAGATATTTCAATTCCATTGTTAATAGTACCATTTTTTTTCTTATTTTATCCCGGAGTAATATACTTACTGTATAGTTCCTATTTTTTATGGTTCCTTTTCCCCGTTCATCTTAAATTATGTACAACTAGCATGTCCATAATGTATTTTGTAGTTTTATTCGATTGTTTGCTGTTTATTGTTTCCCTTGTTAATTTCGTTGTCTTTTTAAACTGCTTTTCTATGCACTGATCATGCTTATCATTTTCTGTCGCTCGTTTTTATTTTTCTATTTCCTGATTGATTTTCTGTGGTACTAAGGCAGAGCCAGATATGTCTAAATAGCTAATTATTCAGGAAACCAATTTTAAAGTTTGTAAGGTCATTATAATTTTGATTTGGTTTATTTTACTATTTTGTTGTGAAGACAATGTGCGTAAGAAATATACTTTTAAGAATTTTGTTAATTTTGTAATTTTTTATTATTATTTTTACTAGATGTTTGATAATTAGGACATATTGACCTTTGCCTCCGTAAATTTTGGGAGAAAATTTACGACATATCAGTTTATACCTTCGTAGGTTTATTATTACAACCTATCTACTTTGCTTTAATACTGTGAGAAAGTGCCTAAAATATTGATTGATGAAATTAAAAATAAAACATGTTACAATAAATGTTTCAATATTTAGTTTATAAAAAAATAATAATAAAGAATAAATTAGCCGTCTTCCTCATGTTATAATACATTTTTCAATATTTTATTCATAAAAAAAATAATAAAAAAACACATAAGCCTTCTTCCTCATTATCATGAAGCTCTGGCACGTTGATGCTGTCGTTGAGACTCAATTAAAAATTATGACAGTCAGGGTGAATTATCGGCGGAAGACTTAGTAGGTCCTTCTTTTTTAGTGGGTTAATTGGTAGTGCCGACGTAACATTTTGTCAAAAAAGTGGTAGGCCGTCTGCCCCGTCAAATGCCAATATGGATGCCAATTCCAAGAAACTATCCAACATCTTACCAGGGGTTGCCAGGCATTTGCTGCAACTGAATATAAGGAACGGTATGACTCCGTAGGGAACATCCTCCATCAAGAGATAGGGACTTTCAAACAGATCATCACTCATATTATTAATACGTTCCTGAGAGTATGCTTGAGAATGATAACTACAAGCTATATTGGGATCGCACTGTGCTCACAGACCAAACTGTACATGCACATAATAGACCAGATCTCGTGCTACTTAATAAACTAACAAGACAAAAAACTCTAATCTATGTGGAGATACCTAACAACAATAATCTGCGTGTTAAGTACAACGAAAAGGTCGCCAAGTACAGAGATCTGGAAATACAAATAAGAAGGCAATGGAGAATGGAAAGTACCCAGATGATACCTTTTTATTCTTTCTACCACTGGAGTCATTTTTAAGAACCTCCTAAAATACATAAAAAAGCTAGGTCTAAATGAAAATCTATATAAGATCGTTCAGAAAGCTCTACTACTTTCGAAGTCCAGAAGCGTGCGAAAATTTTTTTGGGAGATACACCGACGTACCAAGTCACCTAGGACTCGATAACATGGAAAGAGTCCCAGCAGAGCTTAATCTCTTTGATACCGTATCATGATAAGTAAATTTTCCCCTTAAAGTGAGTGTAAGCCGTAGGGCTTAATCTGGATTATATTAAAATAGTTATTTGTGATAGAATACTCGATTAAGCGGTTTCCTGTTTCATTTCTTTGACCTATGCAAAGCTTTTCTATTACATTCTTTAGGTTGTTATTATGTGTAGTATTGTCGAGTTTTGCGTTTAAGTTACCGTATATTAAGGTTAACTCGTTATTTAAAATATTGGCAATTATTGTTTCCAATTTTTTGTACAATTTAATAGCTATTTATATCGTCTGTGTTACTGATTAGTGCATAAAGTTGTATTATATTGAGTTTGTGTGGTATGAGTTCCTGTTTAAGGACAACTATCCGACTGCCTGCAGCTTTGTTTTCAATGACAGATCTCTGTTTGTCGTCACTTAAGAATATATTAAAGAGTAAGAATGAACTTAATGTCAAGAAATTAAAAACTAAGTTATTCCTGTTATTTTAGAAATTACATCTTAATCCACTAAATTTTTAAAATATAATTAAAATGAAGAGAAAGAAAGGAAAGAATCGTCATTGTTGAGCGGTTTCACAATATTAAAGGGCCAATTGCATTAGCATCGATCACAACGTACCACACGTTTACCAAAAATTTTTGCTGAAAATTAGCTTTAAATTGTGATATGTGAATATTCGTCTAACAATACATGTGAGTTGTGGCTATTATTAATGTTGCTTCATTTGTAAAAAGTATGCGCGATACAACACCAGGATTACCATTTATTCATCGATAAAATTACATACGACTGTTAGAATCTTTCGGGTGCTGCACTCCTTGTATGTAGTATGGATCTAAGCCTAGTTCGTAAAGTGTGTTGATCACTCTCATATGAATAATGCCCGAGTTATTGCAAATTCTTCGTTAGCTGAT